GGCGTTCATTCATAACTCCGCCTATTACCGGCGTTCATTCATTCCTCCATCTTTTACCAGCGTTCATTCACTCCCCGTCTTTTACCAGCGTTCATTCATTCTCCGTCTTTTACCAGCGTTCATTCATCCTCCGTCTTTTACCAGCGTTCATTCACTCTCCGTCTTTTACCAGCGTTCATTCATCCACTCCCGCCCACCGTCCACCTATTTATATATATATATATCATTCACGGAAAACATGTTACCAACTAAGTGTGGGAAACATGCAATAACAGGATGCTTAAAGTCAAAACAGGATCTTGCAATTAGCAACGGGCAGGGTGGAAAAAGCCCAGCACTAAACTTCTTGCCGGGAGCGGCACAGCTGGCCAGGCTGTCCCGTTCCCCGACACATTTCTGGCATTTCTTCAATCTCTTCATCTTCACAATCTAGTATTGAAGTGTTGTGTTCTTTTGGGGGTGTCATGTTGTCTTCCTTATTCTTGTTTCTTGAATTGACGTTTGTTATTCAGTATTTGTGGAGATACTCATTGGTTTCTTTTTGTTTTTTTTTTACTGTGGTCACTTTTATCTTTGTGTTATGCCTCTGTGGATAGTGGAGTGTCAGCTTTCAGTGAATACATGGAGGCATGTGGTGGGTGTGGCCAGGGAGCTCTGCAAAGTTATCCAGGGTGAAGGGTGTATCTAAGGTGCCATAACCAAGTTGGGTGTGGTAAATCGTTTTATGAGGAGGTTTCTTCTGCTCTGTTGACATAGACTCAGCTCATCTCCTCTCCTCAAAGGAGAGGAGTGCCTGGGTGCTAGCCCCAGTGGGTATAATATTTGTCCATTCTGCCAAAAGAACCATACAAAGGATCTGGAAGTCCTCAGTATAAGCAGATTCCCTATCAATGTCCCTCACCAGGGAACCAGGGAGCCCTGAGCTTGTGGATCCTCTCACAGTGACTGCCTGAAGTCCCAGCCACACCCTGAGCCCTCCCACATGGCCTTAGTGTTTTCACAGTCCCAGCACACAAGCCCCCCACAGTCATGATCACCCAGCCCCTGTAATTTCTCACCAGACTCAGGAGTCTCTGCTTAGCTGATTGCTGGGCCTGGACATGAGCTGGTGCAGCTGTTATGTATGTCCAAAATGGCTCCTGCTCTTTATCAACTTGCTACAGGATGCCATTGCAGGGTCATCAGGGAGAAACACGTTCCCCCTTTTTTTTCTCCTCTAGTTTGGTGGGTACTCTATCCCACATAGAGTTCCAGGACAGATTCCCCTAGGCTCTTCTTGCAGCTTTATTCCCAGTGGCTTGGGCTGCTGCAGTCTGATCTCACCTCTCTCCAAAGCCGGGCAGAGACTTTCAGTTGCTGAAGTCCAGATGTGTGCATGCCCACACCCTCCATGTAGATCCACTGTGTCCCTCTAATTTCCATAGAGTTTCCTCTATTTTCTCCCTCTTCACTGAGACTGTGCCCTCTTCATCTTTTTTAAACTATCTTCTCCTTGACTAGAGCAGTAAGATCCCTTCCTACTCTCCCATCTTAGTAGATCTCTTATTTGCTCATCTTTCTCACTGTGTCTTACTCATTTATTTCTCTGTCTCTCTCTTTTTATGTGTATATAGAGAGAAAGAGTCAGAAAAGGAAAGATATTGAGAGAGAAAGAGACATTCTTTCTCTCTTCATTTCTCTCATTCACTTTCTCTCTCTTTCCGTACTCATCTCTCTTTTTGTCCCGCAGTACATCTCTCTATTTCTCTGGGTTTCTTGCTCTCTTTTTCTCTGTCTCTACATCTCTCCAGTTCTCTCTCTCCTTGTCTCTTATTTGCTCATATTTCTCTCTGTCTCTCCTTTATTTCTCTTCATTTCTGTCTCTCTCTCCATGAGTCAACAGAGTTTCAGAGAGGTTAAGCTACTTCCCTGGCATCCGCAAGCTGGAATATGACAGAGTTAAGGTTTGAACTCAGATCTAGTGTACTCTGAAATCTATGTTGTAGGTTCCACTCTGCAGCATGTTTTTGGTAACCTGGTATTTGGAAGCAATTAAGCCTTTGACCATTGGTGATTCCAGCCAAGGGTGATGAAAGGCATATAGCATGAAAACAAAGAGAGGTTAAGATATGGTCTATAGCCACAAAATAGCTTTATCCACCTTGTGAAACTGAATGTGTCACATCCTAGGGGTTGGTTAGCTGAGCTGGTGCTCACTGAGGGCTGATGAGTTGGCAACTTTCAAAAGAAAAAAGACCTCAGCTCTGATTTCTTTCCTGATTGGCTGGTCATTTTGAACAAACCACTTGAACCCTCCCCCCAACCTACATTTCCTAATCCATAATCATGGAATTTAGACACTCATCAAATTCACTATTTTCCATTAACCAGCCTCTGTTGCAGACAGAAAGAAAACAATAGTGAAGACTGAAATTCATGTTGCATGAGGAAGAAGACTGAGGAAAACCAAACACCTTCACTTTCTTCAAACTAAGATGTCCTAAGGTAAGACATACCAAGAAGAGGGTGAAAATCGATATTGAATACATAGCCTAGGAAAGCCCTGTCTGGGGACATAACAGCTGGCTAAAGGTGAAGGAAAATGCGGAGGTAACCATGGCAGGCTGAGAAAATAGGGCTGGAGGAAGCAGCTGGCTCAGAGGCCCTGAAGCAGGAACGAGTCCAAGGTACCAAAGGGGAGCCAACATGGCTGAGTCTGGGTGTCTGGCCAGCTCTTAGATAACAAGAGGTTCAGTTTGATTCTACATATGCTGTAAATTCATTTAGAGTAAAATGATCTGATTTTCACACTTAAACACCACTATTGTTGTCCCATGAAGAATAGATCATAGTAGACTAAGAAAGGAAGCAGGAAGAAGAGTCTTCTGGGTGACAGGGAGCTTTGGTTTCAATGGTCATAGTAAATGTGTACAGATTCATAATATAAATGTTTTGAAGCTCAAGTTGATTATACTTGCTGAGAGAGAGATAGACTTATAGGTTTGATGAGCTGAGGGGATAGGATATCTGTTCCCACAATGGGAAAGGAGAAAGCCTTGAGGGAGTGGGGAATGGGGCATTCACTTCTCAGTGGTGTTTAAGTTCAGCCACAGCCATAGTGCTAAACCTTTGGTGTGTACAACAATCACATGAGAGAGCCAGCCTCACCCAAATGGGATAGGTGCATTTGGGAGTCTGTACTGTTGTTAGCTCCCACAGAGGATTCTGATAGGTAGTCAACTCAAGAAAGTCTAAAAGTTACTTTGCACACTTGTTTTCCTTGCAATATACAGGACAAGAAACACAGCACGCTCCAGGAAGTGTGCATTTCCCAAGAACAACTGTCTTTACGTAGTATTCCAGCGGCTGTTCTTTGGGGCCCTAATCATAAACTCTGATGTTCCACCCAGGTTCCCATTATTAGGCCAGAGTACCCACAGCCAATCACTGGGAGTGTTAGTTGCTACTAACTTAAAGCTTCCATTTTCCTTGGAAAACCACCCTGAGTCAGAGGAGCTGCCTGCCCATGGAGGTTAAACCCCACTCCCCAAGGGGCAGCCGATAACCAATGGCTGGATGACACAGTGGCACACAAGGCCAGACACCTGTCTCTAGATGGTTCCAAGTCAATGGCACAACCGGGACTCAGAATAACCTCTGATTGACGCCAGCTGTGAACATTGCCCATCACCCTCATCCTACCTCCTTCACCCCTTTTCATCTCTCTCTCTAAATCACAAAATGTTCTTATCTCAGTCTTAGGCTTCACTTTTTTTATAATTTTTTTTTATTTTTATTTTTTTACAGGCAGAGTGGACAGTGAGAGAGACAGAGAGAAAGGTCTTCCTTTGCCGTTGGTTCACCCTCCAATGGCTGCCACAGCCGGCACACTGCGGCCGGCGCACCACGCTGATCCGATGGCAGGAGCCAGGTACTTATCCTGGTCTCCCATGGGATGCAGGGCCCAAGTACTTGGGCCATCCTCCACTGCACTCCCTGGCCACAGCAGAGAGCTGGCCTGGAAGAGGGGCAACCGGGACAGAATCTGGAGCCCCGACCGGGACTAGAACCCGGTGTGCCGGCGCCACAAGGCGGAGGATTAGCCTAGTGAGCCGTGGAGCCGGCCAGGCTTCACTTTTTAAAAAAAGATTTATTTTATTTGGAAAACAGTCACAGAGAGAGGCAGAGACAGAGAGAGAGAGGTCTTCCATCTGCTGGTTCACTCCCCAAATGGCAGCAGTGGCCGGAGCTGCACTGATCCAAAGCCAGGAGCCAGGAGCTTCTTCCAGCTCTCCCACATGGGTGCAGAGGTCCAAGGACTTGGGCCATCTTCTGCTGCTATCCCAGGCCATGGCAGAGAGCTTGATCAGAAGAGGAGCAGCCAGGACTAGAACTGGTGCCCATATGGGATGCCGGTGCTTCAGGCCAGGGCGTTAACCTGCTACACCACAGCGCTGACTCGTAGGCTTCACTTTTAAGGAGCTCAATATAAGGCAGTGCCTCAGGTATGAGGGAGGTGGACCACAGAGGGGATGAGGTGCCATACTCTAACTCAGAAGCTCTGCGTCCCAAATCATATCCCTCTCTCTTGTAACAGCTGCATGCACATAGCATCAAGGCCAGCGCAAGGTGCAAGCCCACTTGTTGCAACACTCAGGAGCATAGGGCTTCCCACCAACATGCCTACACCCATTCATGGTCATCCATGTGCAGGTAATTCTACATTTTTACGTCACACACCTCCTTCAAGTCTTGCCCTAAGTATCAACTCTCACTGAGCCTTATTGTGGCCACCTTATTTAAAACTGTATTCCTGCTGTGTCTGGATTGCTATTTTTAATGCCACGTGCCACTTGGTATGGCCAACTGTCTGCAGCACCCTCACAAGAAGGTCAGCTCTTGGTGAACGAGGACTTCTGCCCCTGTATCCACCGCAGTTTCCCCTGAACTTGTAGACAATAAGTCCTGGGCTTTTTAAAGTATTTATTTATTCATTTGAAAGGCAGCATTACACAGAGAGGGGGAGAGGTCTTCCATCTGCTGAGTCACTCCCCAGCTGGCCACAGCTCTGAAGCCAGGTGCTTCTGAATCTCCCAGGTGGGTGCAGGGTCCCATAGACTTGGGCCATCTTCCACTGCATTCCTCGGCCAGAGCAGAGAGCTGGATTGGAAGTGGAGCAGCCAGTGGCTTAACCTGCTACACCACAGTGTCAGCCCCAACAGTAAATATCTGTTAAGTGAGGAGGGTTAGATATAGTTTTAAATGTTTGCTAAATATCCTTTGAATATTTGTGGGAAAAAGAGGAAGATAGTCACACAGAGAAGGGGAGAGAAAACTCTTTCTGGGATTGCTCTCAAAAACCACAAACGTTAGCTGCACCACGCAGGACCTTCATGCCATTGCTCTTTTTTTCCAGAAAGGAGAACCAGGAAGCTCCTGCTAGCACAGGATGTTGGGTTTCATGGGTTCAGGCTTGCAGGGGAGCTGGTCTTACCACTTTAGTGTGTGTAGTAGAATGAGACATCTCAGTGCTTTCAGTTTCGACTCCTTTCCGCATCCCACTAAACCACTTCTTATATTCCATGCGTACCTGGAAGATGCAGCAGCACAGAGGTCAATGTCTTTCCAGGCATTGTTCAGAAGAAAGGACCTTAAAGATGCCAAGTCCTACCGTCCTTTCCTTGTTCATGAGTTGGTCATGCTAGGTTGGTTTATTTTGTTTTCAAGTTCCTTAGTTGTAGGAAAGGTGCTTACCAAATGTTAGCAAAGGTCTCAGTGCAAGTTTTTGGTGATGATGGCAATGGCAGGATTGCCAATGTGGGTGGTGATGGTGATAGTGAATATCACTACTTGCTGAACACTAGCTATGCTCAGGGCACTTCACATGAACTGTGTCCTTTATTCTTTACATAAACGCAATGAAGGAAATGTTAATTCTGTGCCCAATTACAGGTGAAGTTGAAGGTCATTCTTATTTCAAATTCATTAAACTTTTCATGTTTGTCATTACGGCACCACAACAGTGAACTGTATTTAACACCTTCAGTGAGTGAGGAGTACCAAGCATTAAGAAGGCACTAAAAGATGGGAGAGAAACTAATGAAGTGCTCAGAGGACCTTTTTTCCACTAAGCATCATAACTGCCAGTAGTTCTATTCAATCGCAAAGGAAAAGGCCAGGAAAACTGTTTCCAGTCTTCTGTGGTGCGTAAAGCTATGATGGTAGCCTTCACTGAAGACTCCTTGTGTGCAAAGGAGTGTGCTAGATTTGCACTGCACTCCTCCTCTCAATTCTCAACCCTATAAGGCAGGCGTTGCCCCTTTGCTGATGAGAAAACGGAGGCTCCCTCCCCACAGTCACACATCAGCCGAATCAGAGAAAGCTCTGGGATTAGAGTTAGTGGCAGGTCGGGATCCTGTGTATCCTGACTGATAGATACGCTGAAGAAAGATGTTGGGATATTGCATGTATGAAACCCAGAGGACGTAACATACCCATGCAGCACACAAACCCTCCTCCCCAAGTGAAGACAGCCCCAGGATACATAAGGAAAGATACAAACGATGATTCAGTAAAACTTTGGGGGAGCCGGCATGTAGCCCACAAGTTAAGATGTCTGCTTTCCGCATCTGAGTGCCGGAGTTTGATTCCAAGCTCCAACTCCTGACTCCAGTTTCTCTTTTAATGCAGAGCCTGGGAGGCCAGCAGGTGATGGCTCGAGTAATTGGATTGCTGCCAACCATGTGGGAGACCTGGATTGAGTTCCTGACTCCATTCCCCAGGCATTTGAGGAGTGAACCAGCAGGTGAACCATGCTCACTCACTCACAATATTTTAAACAAAAATATTTTGGAACTAGTATGCTGAGAGGTTGCATAATTAACCTTACCTGGCGATTAAGGAGACAGTGGACTACAAAGAGCAAAAGCCCTTGCAGGACATTGATGATGGTGAAGGAGTAGGCAATGACCGATCCGACCGTGTTCCCTACTTCTTCAACCATAAAATAACCGAGGCCCCAAGAACATCCCAGGACAAAGAGCTGAGCAGTGGCTTTAAATGTCATGACTCTGGAGGGCGGGGGTAGAAGAAATGAGTGATGTTGACAACTGTTGATCAGGATTCCACCATGTGTGTAGTTGGCACAGGTGCTGGCTGAATGCATCATAACCTTATTTAAGCCCCACTGCAGTGAAGTGAATCCTATGCAGCCACAACGCTGTAGAGTGAGACAGAACTCCCATCATCAGCCATTGCCCCTGAGAATAAGGCTCTCCCCCACTAGGGGAATGGTTTGACTCCTCTGCAGAATCTTCTACCTGACCTTATGGGAACATGGGTAGGAAATGCCTTCTGGATATCTGTTTCTGAAAACAGAACACATCATAGGGTTGCATTTCTTCAAAAGAAAATTGTTTAGTGTAATGGAGGGGTGCTGATGGTAACAGGCTCTGTGTGTGTGTGTGTGTGTGTGTGTGTGTGTGTGTGTGAATGAACCTTCTCTCACACTCATGTGCTATGGAGGACACCAAGAACTCAGTCTGTCCTCCAGGGTTGAAGAGACCAAGATTTAGAGACACGGGGTTTGTTTGGTAAGTAGATGAGACCAGAGCCAGGCTCTGAGGTTGTACAGATATTTCTTTAAATTTTGTTCGGAGGACTCATGTAGTTATCATGGTAAAATGAAAAATTAGTTGGATGACTATTAATATAGTTTTGTCCTCACACATATTGAAATTCCAAGCATTCAATGGTAAATTCCCAGCATCCATCACATTCGCGGGTAATACTAGTTGTTACTGTTACTTTTAATAGTTTAGATTGGCACCATGGAGAATGGAGTCCAGCAGTAGATGCCCTCTCAGGGGATTTAAAAAAAGGATAATGTTGATAGTCTAGGCATCATTTCAAATGAGCACATTAAACAAGGAGATACTCAGTGAATGCTTCTCCAAGGATGGAGTTGCTTTCTAAGTTGCCTGAAAATCATATTTTTCTTCTTTTATAAATTGTCCCTCACATTGTCTTTATCCAGTATCAGGAGAATTTATAGCATAGACTCTGTCTTTCCCAGTCAGAGCAATCCTGCAGGGCAAGTCTGGCTACCACTGAGCTGGGGGCATTCTTACCTGGTGTCCTGAATGGTGGAAACTTCTTTGTTGAGGGAAGCAAGCTTGCTTCTCAAAATCCACAGAACTTGGAAGTAGAAAACCAAGTTTATCTGTGAAAACATCATGAAAAAAATGGTTTGGAATTTTCTTTTGAATCCATCTCAAGCAACGTGACTTGAAGTGAAGGTAGGAATATTTTTCCAAATGATACAGGCTATGACAGCTCAGTATGGACATGCTCTTGTCTCAACACACAGTATATATACGCTGTAGCACCTGGTGCCTAATTAGGGTGGCTATAGTTTACCATTTGACTTAGGATCCCTGAAAACAGAAGAATGCTGTTAATACCTACACCAGGCCATCAGGAGTAGATGCTAAATTATTTACTGAATGAATGCATTGCCAACAAGGGGTGATGTTACATTAAAGCAACCAGTGAGCTTAAGAGGGAGTCAAGGAAACACAAGACAATATTTTCAAGAAGAAGTATTGATACATTAGTTATAGTTCCTTGTCTTTGTCTCATTTCCAGCTTGGACAGATAAGAAACACACTCTTTCTGCTTAGCCAACCCAAGGCAGGCACACAAGTACATATCACCTACCGTGATAATGGCTGCTACTGGCCCCATGAAGCTCCAAATGAATCCTTTTTCAGGCTTGAGCCAGCAGCTGTTGGGATAAAGACAAAGAGAAAGATATTCCTTGTTAGAATGCAGAGATTGATAGCAGGGTCCTGGAACAGATTCTGAACAGTGCCAAGAGTATTTCATTCAGAACTTGGGTTTCAGGTGGAGTCGTCATCTGACACAAGCTGTGTGCTCAGAATTTAAGTTTCCCCAAAAGTGAAGGGGGAAAATCAAAGTATTGCAAAGATCAAATGATTACTGTATCCATATTCTAAATCTCAAAGTCAGATAATTTCAGACCTTTTGTGGTAGAATGAGAAGGCCACACCAAGATGGCCGCTGGCAACAGAAACTGCCTGGCATGGTTTCTGAAACTATCCAATCACAGCTTGTTTTCAGTCAGGCTCCATTGTCATGTGGTTTCGGAAACCATCCAATCACAGCCTGTTGCCAGGCAGTTTATGTTGCCAGCACCCATCTTGGCATGGCCTTCTCATTCCACCACAACCTCTGACTTGTGTTTCCTTTCAATTTTATGTTAGCTATGCTGGGTCTTTTGCTGCTTTCATATAATCTTCAGAATCATTTTAATATCCATAAACCAACTTTGTGTGGTTTTGACTAAGAATGTGTTGCGTCTATAGATGAATTTGGGAAGAACTAACATCCTTACTATATTGACTCTTCCTATCCATGACTATGGTTTTCTCTCTCTCTCTCTTTCTTTTTGATTTTTTTCTTAGTGTAGTTTTGAAGATTTCTTCATACAGAACTTGCAAGGAGATTAAATAAGATCTGGAAAAGAGTTAAGGCTCAAGAAATATGGCTATTGTGTTGGCAATGATTGCTACAATGAGAAAGAGTAAAATGGATCACTACAGCCAACACAAATTAAACATATTACATGACAAAGTGTCCTGTTGTCCACTACTTTGTATTCTGTCATTGTGGTATAACTTAATCTAAAAGGGACTTAGATGTGTGAACCTGGTCAGTGTAACAACCAATCACAGACACTGAGTTAGTGCAAAGGTTCCATGCTTAAGTTCTGTGCTATCTACCTGACTACTTATCTATGTTTTCCCACCCATTATTCAACCTCCTATCCCCTCTTGCACATTACCCTACTTCTGTATGCAGATCAATACTTTTAAGCTTACACATAGAACATTATGGTATTTGTCTTCCTGTGCCTGGCTTTTATATATTTTATGAAAACCTGTAAGAGAAGAGCCCAAAGGCTCCAACATGAAGAAATGAACATAAGATGGAAATGTCAGTTACCATGAGTTGAAGCACACTGTACCCCAGAAATACATCCAATGATGACATGTTCATTAAAAATGCATAAAACCAGCCAGCGCCGCAGCTCACTAGGCTAATCCTCCGCCTTGCGGTGCTGGCACACCAGGTTCTAGTCCCGGTTGGGGCGCCGGATTCTGTCCCGGTTGCCCCTCTTCCAGGCCAGCTCTCTGCTGTGGCCAGGGAGTGCAGTGGAGGATGGCCCAAGTACTTGGGCCCTGCACCCCATGGGAGACCAGGATAAGTACCTGGCTCCTGCCATCAGATCAGCACAGTGCGCCGGCCGCAGCACACTTGCCGCGGCAGCCATTGGAGGGTGAACCAACGACAAAGGAAGACCTTTCTCTCTGTCTCTCTCTCTCACTGTCCACTCTGCCTGTCAAAAAAATGCATAAAACCAGGGGGCCAGTGCTGTGGCATAGCAGGTAAAGACAGCCTCCCATATGGGCACTGACGACAGACTTGGCTGCTCCACTTCCCATCCAGCTCCCTGCTGGTGTACCTGGGAAAGCAGCAGAAGATGGCCCAAGTGCGTAGGCCCCCTGCATCCACTTGGGAGATCTGGATGAAGCTCCTGGCTTCAGCCTGGTCCCACCCCAGCTGCTGTGACCATTTGGGGAGTGAATAGTAGATGGAAAATTTCTCCTTCTCTGTCCTTCTCTGAGACTTTCAAATAAATAACTATTTTTAAATGCAAGAAAACCTTTGTAGAACATAAAAAATATTTTTAAGACGAGAAATGGGTGGAGGTGACCTTTTGTCTGGTGGAGCTGTTAAGCCCCCACTTGGGATGCCTGCATCCTGCATCAGAGTGCTTGGGTTGAAGTCCCTGCTCTGTCCCAATTCCAGCTTCCTGCTCATGTAGATGCTAAGAGGCAGCAGTGGTGTCCCAAGCACTTGGATCCCTGCCACACACGTGGGAAACTTCCTGGATTGCATTCCCAGCTGCAGGCTTCAGCCTGGCCCATTGCTGGCTATTGCAGGCATTTAGGAAGGAGCCAATAGATGGGAGACCTTGCCCTCTTGGGCTTTCAAGAAATTTTTAAGTGATTACAAATTACATACATGTATTTGTATACACACACACACACACCAACACCTGGATACTGCTTCCATCATAAACATACACACATAGTGGCCGGTGCCGTGGCTCACTAGGCTAATCCTCCGCCTTGCGGTGCTGGCACACCGGGTTCTAGTCCCGGTCGGGGCACCGGATTCTGTCCCGGTTGCCCTTCTTCCAGGCTAGCTGTCTGCTGTGGCCAGGGAGTGCAGTGGAGGATGGCCCAAGTACTTGGGCCCTGCATCCCATGGGAGACCAGGATAAGTACCTGGCTCCTGCCATTGGATCAGCGCGGTGCGCTGGCTGCAGTGCACCGGCCACAGCGGCCATTGGAGGGTGAACCAACGGCAAAGGAAGACCTTTCTCTCTGTCTCTCTCACTTCACTGTCCACTCTGCCTGTCAAAAAAAAACGTACACACATAGGTATCATACTTACTGAGTGTATGTTCCATAATTTTTGTGTCCAACTATTGCAGACACAGTGACAATTACAGCCGGGATCCCATAGCCTGCAGGGTACATGAACCTCTTCTTCAATCTGTTTTCACTGGTGTAGTTGGCCACCTTGAGATTCCTGACAGTGAGGAAGAGGTGCAGCCCTTCCAGGAGCATCCAGATGAAGGAGGCCAAGTAGAAGTAATGCAGTGCCCCCGCCGTGACGGAGCACAGCACCTGCAGGGGAGAGGCATTAGCAGGACAGTAGGTAGACGCATTCTGTGCCTGTTTCACCCTCAGCTCTCACCACTCCCTGCATACAGGCCTGGAATTTGAATTCAAGCACCTACAACATTGTTCCATTCTCCTGGACATCTAGTCTGCTTCCCCCGTGCATGAAGCTAACCAGAAATGCCAAGGAAGAAAAGTCATGGGTGCAGCCCTCAGACACGTCACAGACAAGAGTTGGTGGGTAAAATACACCATTGCCCTTGCCCTTGGTGTGGGAGAAGGCTAAGACGTGTGCTCTACACTGCCCCCTGGTGCCCCTCCATGGGATCAAGCTCCAGTTGTCCACGGTGGAGGCTTTATGGAAAACATGTCATTTGTGGTCTGCCTTGCCATCTCTATCTGATGTCCCCCTCAGCATATCAGGATTGCCTGGACCAGACCCAAATAGACAACTTGTTGCAGATCTGTTCTGAGGACAAACCGGTAATGAACCCATGGACTGCAACCTCTGTTCTTCACCAGGGCTGCTGCCTCTGTATAGGGGAATGGATTTTTAGGGCCACCTGGTATTGCTTTCCATAAATCAGATCACCAGGATATCCTGGCATAAATAGAATAGTAACACAGGTGCCTATTGAGAAATTAAATTTTAGGGGTGGGCATTTGGCAAAGCATGCCATAATGGAGTCCCTAAGCTCATATCCCACTTGTACTCCTGGATCCAGCTTCCTGCTAATGAAGACCCTGGGAACAGCAGTGATGGCTCAAGTACTTGGAACCCTGTTCCTGCAAGGGAGATCTTGATTGCATTCCAGGTTCCCAGCTTTGTCCTAGCTGTTGGAAGCACTCAGGAAGTAAACCAGCAGATGGAAGATCTCTGTCTCTCTGACTTTCACATAAAAATAAAAATTTAAAAGATACTAAAGAGATATACTTTTTAAAAATATGTATTTATTTACCTGAAGTCAAGGTTCCAGAGAGGAAGACACAGATCTTCCATCTGCTGGTTCACCTCCACAGATGGCCACAACATCCAGGGCTGAGCCTAGCCAACGCCAGGTGCTTTTTCCAGGTTTCCCCAGGGGTCTCAGGGGCTCAGACACTTGGGCCATCTTTTACTGATTTTCCCAGACCATCAGCAGAGAGACGGATTGGAAATGGAGCAGCCGGGACAAAAACCAATGCCCATGTGGGATGCCAGCATCACAGCCAGCAGCCTAACCTACTATACCACAATGCTGGCCCCCAAGGCATACGTTTTTAAAACATTTAGAAAATTTTGATTACAAAATGTGCATCTGCTTCACCTGGAAACATTTCAGTTATCACAATTTTGAAAATACTTTTCTAAATTAAGGCATATGTTTGCAGTTCAAACAGATCATAGAAATACATATTATGAAAAAGCAATCCAAAGATTTCAAGAAAATCTGCACCAAAATAAACTTATCTTTTAATTCAACTTTTCCATGACTTTTGACATTCTTAGATTATTGAAGCAGAACAGGAAATGCTGCTATTGTACATTATACTGGATTGGATTTTTTTGAAGATTCGAAAGATAGACTTTGGGAGAGAGAGAGAGAGAGAGAGCGCCTGCTTCCATTCACTGGTTCACTACAGAAATGGCCGCAATTTCCAGAGCTGAGCCAGTCCAAAACCAGGAGTTTCTTCCAGGTTTCCCATGTGGGTTCAGGGTCCCAACACTTGGGCCATCTCCTGCTGTTTTCCCAGGCTATTAGGAGGGAGCTGGATTGGAAGTAGAGCAATGGGACTCGAACCGCACACATATGGGATGCCAGCATTGTAGGTGGCAACTTCACTTGCCTTATGACAATGCTGGACCCTGTGATGTATTTTTTAACAACAAAATGTTCAAAGTTTAGTGGCCCAAGTGCCTTTAGATCTTATTTAATGCATATGGTACATTTAAATTGAGATATTATTGGGGCCAGCACTATGGCCTAGTAGGCTAAGCCTCCGCCTTTCATGCCAGCAACCCATATGGGCACCAGTTCGATTCCCAACTGTTCTTCTTCCAATACAGCTCTCCGCAAATGGCCTAGGAAGGCAGTGGAAGATGGCCCAAGGGCTTAGGTCCCTGCATCCAAACAGGAGACCCCAGAGAAGCTCCTTGCTTTGGATAAACCCAGCTCCAGCTGTTGTGGCCATCTGGGGAGTGAACCAGCAGATGGAAGACCTTCCTCTCTGTCCCCCTCTCTCTCTAACTTTACCTCTCAAATAAGTATAATCTTTAAAAATATATATTAAGGCCGGCGCCGTGGCTCACTAGGCTAATCCTCCGCCTGCAGCACCGGCACACTGGGTTCTAGTCCCGGTCAGGGCGCAGGATTCTGTCTCGGTTGCCCCTCTTCCAGGCCAGCTCTCTGCTGTGGCCAGGGAGTGCAGTGGAGGATGGCCCAAGTACTTGAGCCCTGCACCCCATGGGAGACCAGGATAAGTACCTGGCTCCTGCCATCGGATCAGCACGGTGCACCGGCCGCAGCACACCCGCCGCGGCAGCCATTGGAGGGTGAACCAACGGCAAAAGGAAGACCTTTCTCTCTGACTCTCTCTCTCACTGTCCACTCTGCCTGTCAAATATATATATATATTAAAATTGAGATATTGTTGACAAATAATAAATTATTCATATTTAAGGTATACAGCTTGGTGGTTTATTATTTTTCTGAGAGCCAGGAAGCAGAGCTCCCACCCACATCGAGGGCCACCCCTCATATGCTTGCAACAGCAAGCTCTGTTTGGGTGTTTTGGATGAGGTTCGCAGTTAAACTGGTGGACTCTGATTAGAGCCAATTGCAGAGGAGCTTCAGCCAATCAGGAGAAGGTATGAATCCATCAGACAGGTGCCCCTTTCTCAGATTTAAAATTTTCTAACTTGGCCGGCACTGCGGCTCAATAGGCTAATTGTACTCCTGGATCCAGCACCATATATTTGTAGCGCGGGCACACCGGGTTCTAGTCCCGGTCGGGGCGCCGGATTCTGTCCCAGTTGCCCCTCTTCCAGGCCAGCTCTTTGCTGTGGCCCGGGAGTGCAGTGGAGGATGGCCCACGTGCTTGGGCCCTGCACCCCATGGGAGACCAGGATAAGCACCTGGCTCCTGCCATCAGATCAGCGCAGTGCGCCATCCACAGCGGCCATTGGAGGGTGAATCAACAGTAAAAGGAAGACCTTTCTCTCTGCCTCTGTCTCTCTCACTGTCCACTCTGCCTGTCAAAAAAAATAATTTCCAACCTATTTATTTTCATTTTTTAGTTTGGATGGCAAAGAGAAAGAGACAGAGAGACATCTTCCATCCACTGGCTCATCCCCCAAATGCCTACAATAGGTTAGGCCAGGCCAAAACCAGGAGCTAAGAATTCTAGCCGAGTCTCCCACATCGGGGTCAAGGGACCAAGCACATGAGCCTCCCAGGTGCATGTCAACAAAGAAGCTCATTTAGAAACCGAGCCAGGCAGCCTGATAATGTATGGGGGTGTCCCAAGAGGCACATTAATTGCCACACAAAACGCCCACCCTTTCTTCTTCAGCTTGTTGTATGTTGGTCTTCTGCCGAACCCCATCCTCAGCCTACCTCACTGCTCCCTGCCCTGATATCACATGTGTTCTCACGCTCGGACAGCCTGCTTCATCTAGGAGATTCCAGCGTCTGCCACTCTCTCTCTCCTCGGTCCACAGTCCCTGCTGCCAATTGACGGTTGCCTGTCTCAACTCCAGTGTGTGACCGGCACCTCTCCCTGAAAGACTTAAACCTGAATTGGTCGTCTTGCCTCCCCCAAACTCTGTCACTCTTCCTCTAGCTTGGTAAGTGACATCACTATCATTCTATCCAGTTTCCGCAATCAGAAACCACACAGACATCCTTATTTCTGCCTTGCACACCACTTCTCCATCCCTCCTGTGGGCCCCAAGTCTGCTTTGTAAACATTCCTTAAATGTGACTCACTCCTCCAGCCCGGGGCCATGGTTTCATTAACTCTTTCTCAGACTCTCCATAGCCTCAGTAATGTTCTGTCTGCTGCCGGTTTCATCTCACTGCAATGCACCTTCAATCTCCCCTTTTGTTGTCCTGAGCAAGTATTTTCGTCATTCCCAGGTTAAAGTCCTTTCCTGGGTCACTGTTGCCTCAGCAGGGGTAAGAACACTTGTCAGTAAAAACAAGGTTTTATTGACACAGTCTATACCCAATCATTCACTATCAGCTGTTCCATGCTACAGCAGCAGAGCCCATCGGGACCTAGCAGATAAGATCTAACCTTATCCTTTCCTACGCTGGGTCCAGCACCATCTACGTCTGCTCCCTCATCTCCAGAGGTCAGTCTCATTTCAGAGTCAATTCAGACTATGTTAGAAGCATCTTTCTAGAATCGTGTGTTGATTACAATTGTGAGTGATGACTGTCGCAAGAAAGAGCAACAGTTGATTAGTGATGTCTGCATTACTGTGGATGGTCCTGTAAATAGATAAACCAAGCACAAGAGGGAAGCCCCTGTCCCCAAATGCTGCGCTGTTTCATGCTTCAAATCATTCAGATTCTACTCCCTGTGCCCCCACGTGCTCCGACACCATCACTTTCGATCTCAATCATTTTAATAAATGGCCGCTCAGAAAGTCTGGGTCTCGGGTAGGGGCTGGCATTGTGGCGTACCTTGTTAAGCTCCCACCTGCAATGCTGGCTTCCCTTATGGGCATCCCATATGGCCCACTGCTCCATCTCCAAGCCAGCTCTCTGATAATGGACTGGGAAAGGGGCAGAAGATAGCCCAAGTAGTTGGGCCCCTACCACCCATGTGGGAGACCTAGATGGAGTTCCTGGGGAGTGAACCAGTGGATAGAAGATTCTCCCATGTTGCTTTCCCTCCTTCCCTGTCTCTATTTCTGACTTTCCAAATAAAGAGATATCAACAATATAGAAAGTATTGGGCCAGAGCTGCGGCTCACTAGGCTAATCCTCTACCTGTGGTGCCAGTACCCTGGGTTCTAGTCCCGGTTGGGGCGCCGGTTCTGTCCCGGTTGCTCCTCTTCCAGTCCATCTCTCTGCTGTGGCCCAGGAAGGCAGTGGAGGATGGCCCAAGTGCTTGGGCCCTGCACCCGCATGGGAGACCAGGAGGAAGCAACTGGCTCCTGGCTCTTGGCTTCGGATTGGCACAGTGTGTTGGCCATAAAGACCATTCAGGGGATGAACCAACAGAAGGAAGACCTTTCTCTCTATGTCTGTCTCCCTCTCTCACTGTCTAACTCTGCATGTCAAAAGAGGAGAGGAGAGGAGAGGAGAGGAGAGGGGAGGGGAGGGGAGTGGAGGGGAGGGGAGGGGAGGGGAGGGGAGGAGAGGAGTGGAGAGGAGGGGAGAGTATGGGTCCCATCCAAACTTACACAGGAGGAGGAGAGCTGAACTGGGAACTGTGGCTTTCCTGGTTAACATCACTGCTGACGAATGCCTCTCTCTCTCTCCACATCTTCTCAGGACAAGATGGCTACATTTGACCACAAGCATGAGCCTGCTTGGTTAAATCACCTACCTTGGGTTCAGTTCTGCTGATGCCCGTGAGGAAGAGGAGATGGGCCAGGAAGAGGCAGAGCGAGAGCTGCAGGTGGATGGAGGTGCTGGTGTTCTGGATGGGCCGACACAGCAGGAACGTGAGGGCTGCCAGGAAGAGGCACAGCAGAGAGAGGCTCAGCCCCACGTAGGTGATCAGAGTCAGCACCAGATCCTCCTGCAAGCCACCAAGAAAAGAACCTGTTGCCGCTTGCAAGGCTACTGCTGTCTCCTGATGAACGGCAGGACCCCCTAGCTAAGTTCCCGAACAAGCGTCTCCATCAGAGACTTGATACAAAACCAAAACCAGCAGACCACTGCTGTCCAGTACACATTGGGCACATGAACTTCATGTATGATTTTAAGTTTTCTTAAACGCTTTACTAACAAACAGGTGAAATTGATTTAGTGTATTTAATTTCACCAGATAGGTTCAAACTGTTATCACTTCTATGTATAATCAGTGAAAATGTAAACAAAGATCAGTGGGATATTTGACAATCTTTGTTTTCATATTAAGGCTTTGAAATTGGTGTATATTCTATACTTAACAGCACACCCCTGTTGATATGCCCTGTTTTCAATGGTGAAAGTGAAAGAAAGTTCCAGTTAACATAAAAGTATTCTTACTTAAATAAATCAAAGTGAAATGAAATTAAGAACGCAGGGTGCAGGTGTCATGGCCCAGTGGGTTAAGCTGCTGCCTGCGTTGCTGGCCTCCCATCTGGGCACTGGGTTAAGTCCTGACTGCTCACCTTCCAATCCAGCTCCCTGCCAATGCACCTGGGAAAGCAGCAGAAGAGGACCCAAGTGCTGGGGGCCCTGCACCCACGTGGGAGATTTGGATCAAGTCCCCCAAGATTGCTGACTTGTGCCTGCCCCCAGCCATTGTGACCATTTGTGGTGTGAACCAGCAGATGGAAGATTCATATTCTATCGCTCTCTCTCTCTCTCTTTCTCTCTCCAGCAGTCACATGTGACACTGATCCTAGCTGACAGCACAGTGCTCAAGGGTAATCTTCACAAAGCCGGATGTTTTCAATCTATCTTGCTCCCTGTTGTATCCCCAAGGTCCCTGGTATACAGTGGGCACTCAATAAATATTTTTTTAAAAAAAAAGTAGAATGAGGCCATGCATGTGAAGCCTGCCACACAGTAGTTGTCTTACAGAAAATGTTCAATAAATGGGATCTAAAAAGAAACACAATTGGGAGCTCAGCGAGTGTCTTTAAACCTGAGCGAGCTTAGACTTGGTTGGGACCTGTGTGGTGGGTGCCGGTTACCTTCCTTCTGGTCTGACCCGGGAGGCTGAGTCAGAAATCTGCCTTGCAGAGTAATAGGTACTCTGTACTGAGATTTTCTTGGATGTCACCATTGTGGAGGCTGCCAGCTGTTAGCTTGAGCTCACTCTGCCCATGCCCACGGATGTGTCCAAGATTTAACATCCGCTGGACACAGTGGTCAACAGAAAACTGGAGATGACTGGAGTATGAAGACCCCAGCTCTGCTGCCACTCAGGACAACTGGGAAGCATGTGTGCCCCACAGTGACTCTCAGAACAGAACCCAGTTGTCTACAGTGGAAACTGGCTTGATAATGCTCTCCATGTTGACTTCGGTGCCTTTCCAATTCAGCGCTCCCTGGGCCCCTAATGGTGTTTCCCGGAATCAATTCTCAAGGAGCTAGTACCACTGGATGTCTTAGATCTACAAGCAGATTTAATCACGTGAAAACCAGAACATCAGGGAGAGATGGAGAGAGAAACCCTCCATTCACTGGATCACTCTCCAAACGGCCACAATAGCCAGGGCTAAGCAAGGCCTAAGCCAGGAGCTCCATCCTGGTCTCCACGTGCATGACAGGGGCCCAGGTACTTGGGCCATCTTCTGCTGCCTTCCCAGGTGCATTAGCAGGGAGCCAGATCTGGAATCAGGGCATCAGGACTCCAGCTGGCACTCATACTGGGTGCCAGCATCTCTGGGAGCAGCTTAACCCACTGCATCCAATACCATCCCCTTGAATCCTTGTCTTAAGAGTCATACAGTGGGGGCTGGTGCTGTGGTATAGTGGGTAAGGCCGCCACCTGTAGTGCCGGCATCCCCTATGGGCACAGGTTCAAGACCCGGCTGCTCCACTTCTGATCCAGCTCTCTGCTGTGGCCTGGGAAAGCAGTGGACAATGGCCCAAGTGCTTGGGCCCCTGCACCCATGTGAGAGACCCATTAGAAGTTCCTGGCTCCTGGCTTCAGATCGGCCCAGGTTCGGTTGCTATGGCCATTTGGGGAATAAACCAGTGGACAGAAGATTTTTCTCGCATGCACGTGCTCTCTCTCTCTCTCTCTAATTCTGTTTTTCAAATAAAATAAATAATTTTTAAAAAAATCTTACTGTAAGATGCACAGATGGCTCACAGCTTCCGTGGTAGAAGACCTTGAATATATTTATTATTTCTTTATGAGAGAGAGAGAGAGAGATCTCACCTGCTGGTTCACTCCCCAATTGCCTCTTATAGCTACAGAGGCTAGAACCAGGAGCTGGGAGCCAGAAACTCAATCTGAGGTTCCCACATGCATGGCTGGAACCCAACTAATAGCCATTGCTGCTGCCTCCCAGGGTCTGCATTAGCAGGGAGGTGGTATCAGGAGCAGAGCCCAGGCACTCCACTGTGGAGGTCTTAACCAGTGGACCAGGTGCCCACCCCCGGACCTTGAATCTCGATACCTTTGGTGTTAGAGCCATGAGGACGGCAAAACTGGACAGGTGGGAGCACTTGCATATGGTGCAGGATTCGTTGCTGTATACATGAGAGCAGCCCTCCATCGACCAGCTGCCCCCCTCTTCCGATCCTTCCCAGTACACACAGAAATACTTCATTCCCGCAGCACCAGTCTGGAGAGAGAATGGCATGAGAGTCTCTTCTGGAATTTGTTATTTCAACTTTATAGGTTAATCACACAGCACTGAGTTGGAAACCTGCTCAGGGAAACACCTATAGGAAGCATTTCACATTACAACACCTGCTTGCGGGGGAGGGGGTGGTATTCTTCATTGACTTCGCCTGTCTCTGAGCATCTCAGGACACTGGGGAATGGACCCTTTATAATCTAATCCACAGCTCCTTGATGCTGACTGGTGAGAAATCATTGGACAAGAGAAAAGAGAAGACACGTATGTCCTACAGGTAAGCTTCTGCTCGGGGCTCACCCCACATCCAGTAGAGTAATGATCCCTCCTCCCTAACACCACTCCCTCTGAGCTCACTCATCCTCTTCCCTTTATGTATTCCAAGTGTACAATTTGCTGTTTTTCATATACAAAGTGTTCCCCAAAGTTTGTGGGACATGGAGTTAAAAGTGTATTTTTGGTGCAAAACATTTTGAAATTCATGTATACTAGGGGTCTTCAAAAGGGTTTGAGTTTCAACTACGACATTTCCTACCCAGATTCCTGCCTGTGCATGCCCTGGGAGGCAGCAAGTGATGGCTCAAGTACTCACGCCCCTGCCACCAGTGTGGGAGACCTGGATGGAGTTCTGGGCTCTCAGCTTAGCCCTGGCTGGTGCAGTAATTTGGGGAGTGAACCAACAGATGTAAGAGGTGTCTCTCTCTCTCTCTCTCTCTCTCCCTTAACATTCTGAAAGGTCATTGAAATGCTCATGAAAATTATGCATGAATTTCAAAATGTTTTGCACCAACATAATCTTTAAATTCCATTTTCCAAAAACTTTTGGAGTACCTTCTATCATATACTACGAAGTGATCCCAACAATCAATCTGATTACCACACGCATCACCTCACACGATGACCATTTTTTTTTTGTGGCGAGGACCTTCGACCTGCTGACTCAGAAAATGTTAAGTATACCATGGGCCACGATTAACTATAGTCGTCCAACAGAGCATCACAACTCCAGAACGTGTCCACTTACCACCACCTCTCCATTCTCAGCTCTGTACCCCTGGGAAACGTCATTCTGTTTTCTGCTACTGTGAGTTTAATTTATTTTTTTAGGTACCATATAAAAATGAGGTCATGTGGTATTTCTTTTTTTCTTTTTCTGGCTTATTTCACTTAGTAGGATCTCTCCAGGTTCATCCACGCTGTCCTAAGTGACATGGTTGTGTGTTTTAAAGCCAAATAATACTCATATAGATAATATTTTCATAGTAATGTTTTCTTATTCCATTACATATTGCAATGTGGCCTTTACCCACCCATCTGCTGTCAGACACTTCTATATCTTGGGCACTTTGAATATTCCTGCAATGAACATGGAGGTGGAGTTGTGTTTTTGAAATCATGACTTCCATTTCTATTTGTGTATGTTTCCAGACATGAGATTTCAGGATCATGTGGTAATTCCACCTTTTTTTTTGA